TCAGGGAAAGAACTAACCCCCAACAACGTACTGCATGTACCTGACATCCGGAAGAATTTAGTTTCTGGGTCTTTGTTAAGTAAAAATGGTTTTAGGCTTGTATTTGAGTCTGATAAATTTGTATTAACAAAGAGTGGTATGTATGTTGGTAAGGGATACATGAGTGATGGTCTCTTTAAGTTAAATGTAATGGCAGTTGTACCGAAAGTTGCTATGAATAAGAATAACACATCTTTTGTTTATATTCTTGAGTCAAATTTATGGCATGGTAGATTAGGACATGTGAATTTTGATGCTTTGCGTAGATTAATTGGTTTAGATCATATACCAAAGTTTGAAATTAACCCTAATCATAAATGTGAAATTTGTATAGAACCGAAACTAACTAAGGCTCCATTTAAATCGGTTGAAAGAAAAATTGAACCTCTAGAATTAATTCGTACTGATGTATGTGATTTAAAATTTATTTAAACTAGAGGAGGCAAAAAGTATTTCATAACATTTATCGATGATTGCACAAGATATTGTTATGTTTATTTACTTAGAAGTAAAGATGAAGCCTTAGAAATGTTTAAATTCTACAAAACAAAAGTTGAAAATCAACTTGGTAAAACCATTAAAATGGTCAGAAGTGATAGGGGTGGTGAATATGATGCACCATTAAATGAATTTTGTGTACAACATGGCATTATTCACCAAACTACAGCCCCTTATTCTCCACAGCAAAATGGAATTGCTGAAAGGAAAAATAGAACCCTCAAAGAAATTATGAATGCCATATTACTAAGTTCAGGTTTACCATAGAACTTGTGGGGGGAAGTAATATTGTCTGCTAATTATGTTCTTAATAGAATACCCCACAAGAAAATCAACAGCACTCCTTATGAATTGTGGAAAGGTCGACCGTCTTCCTACAAATACTTAAAAGTGTGGGGGTGTTTGGCGAAAGTTGAAGTTTTTGTTCCTAAAAAGACTAAGATTGGACCAAAAATAGTAGACTGTGTGTTTATTGGTTATGCTCAGAATAGTAGTGCATATCGGTTTCTGACTTATAAATCAGAAATACCTGATATAAATGTGAACACTATTATAGAGTCAATGAATGCTGTGTTTTTTGAACATGTCTTTCCTTATAAGAAAGGACAGGAATTAAGTTCTAAGAAAAGAACTTATGATTGTACACAAAGTCAAGAGACTAATGACAATCAAACGCAAGAGACTAGTAATGGTCTCGACCAACAGGATTTAACTGATGATAAACCAAGACGAAGTAAGAGAGGGAGAACATCAAAATCCTTTGGTTCAGATTTTCTGACATATTTGTTAGAAAATGAACCTCAAAACTTTAAGGCAGCAATGACAGGTCCTGAAGCACCTTTGTGGAAAGAGGCTGTTAATAATGAAATTGAATCCATTATGCAAAATTATACTTGGGAATTGGTGGATCTTCCACCAGGTTCTAAACCTCTTGGATATAAATGGATATTCAAGAGAAAAATGAAAGCAGATGGTTCAACAGACAAGTATAAAGCAAGACCTCTTAGCGAGTCATTCCAAGTCGCTGCTTTAGTGGAAAAGTTACCACCGGCTTGGAAAGATTTCAAAAATTATTTAAAACATAAACGCAAAGAGATGACTATGGATGAATTGAGTGTAAGATTAAGAATTGAAGAAGATAACCGAAAGGCTGAAAAGAGGAATGGGAAAAATCCCATTGAGGAGAGATTAGTATAATTATGCTAAAATTTCGTGTAATTTATGTTGGAAATGGTAGAAAAATTATGGGTAAAACCAGAATTTTTTCTCAAGTTTGGTCTATTTTTTAGGTGGGCCCCGAGCATCGAT